GTGAAAGTACTTAGTCAGTATTGTAGGCTGGTGTGCTCATAGGTTTTTTTTTGCTCTTCCACGCCTGTCTCCTGCTCTTCTACTCAGCTAATCGTCTCTATGCTCTCCTCACTCCTTCTCCTCTCTCACATCCCCCCTCTGCCCCCGGCACTCGGCTCTCCTTCTCACCCTTTCGGCTTTCCCTAACTCCCGTCTTCCTCGCCTCTTTTTTTTCGTACTACTATCTCGCCCCCCGCCCCCTTCCTCTCTCTTTCTCTCACTCTCTCTCTCTCCGCTCTTTCTCTCTCCCTCTCTCCACCCTAGTCACTTGTCGCCCCGTCTCTCATCCTGCGGTCTCTCATACCTCTCTTCTGCGCGCTCTGCCCCCTCGCACTCGTCGCGCCCTCCCTCTCTCTCTCTTCGTGTGCTGGTTCTCGCTCTCCTGTCGCTCACGAAAGTGTCCTCGTCTTCTCTCTGTCCTCGCTACTCGCCCTCTCTCATCTCCTCGTCGCCTACGCTGCTCTCTCGTGCGCGCGCGCGGTCGAGGCGGAAGATCGCTTCGTCTCTTCTCTCTCGTAAACCTGCAGCCGTCCAGAACCGCTCTCTTCTCCTCTCGCCCACCCCTCGTCTCCGCTCTCCCTCTCCCTCTTTCTCTCCGCTCTCTCCCTGCTCTCGCCCCTTTCCTCTCTCCCCCTCTCTCTCTCTCCCTCTTCTGTCTCTCGTCTCCTTTGCTCTCCTGCACGGCGCACCCCTCTCTCTCTCTCTCTGTCTTTCTCCCTCTCCCTTTCGCTCACCCTCTCTCTCTCTGTCTCTCTCCCTCTCCCTCTCCCTCTCGCTCACCCTCTCTCTCTCTCTCTCTCTCCCCCAGACCACATGAAGCTGAACGGCGGCGCGCGGCTCTACGCGCAGCAGTTTCTCGCCATGTTCCTCAAGAGAGCGTTGCACACCGCGCGCGCGTGGAAGGTCATCGTCGCCCAGCTCCTCGTGCCGTGCGTGTTCACCGCGATCACGCTCGTCGTCGTTCGCACGCTCCCGCAACTCCGCGACTCTCCGTCGCTTGCGCTCACCCTCGCGCCCTTCGGCCAGACGATCGTCCCCTACTACGTGCCGCCAGGCGGCGCCGCGGGGCTGGCGCGCGAGTTCGCGGCGCAGTTCGATGGGACGCGGGCGCGCACCGTCGACGTTTCCGGCGGCGGCGGCGGGGGAGCGGCGACGCTCGACGAATACATTGTTCGCGAGACGAACGCCGACGTCGGCCGCTTCCTGTCGCACTGCATTGTGGCGGCCATGTTTGGTGGCGGCGGCGGCGGCAGGGCGGAGACGACGGCGTACTTCAACAATCAGCCGTACCACGCATCGGCGATCTCGCTCGGCGTGGCCGACAATGCTCTGCTTAGGTACGAACGCGGAGGGGCGGCGGTTTTCTGCTTGTATTTTTTTCTCTCGTCAACCTAATAATTACGTAGAATATATATATATATATATATGTATATAATATTCTAATATTATCATATAACTATCTGTTAGAAAGTCAATACATCTGTTGTATTTATATTTATTTTTGTTAAATAGCAGATTTGTACTTGATATGAAGAATGACCTAACATTTACACATCACGGATTGAAATTTACCACGATCAATATGTGCGATCTGAAAATGCCAGTGAAATATATAGAAGCACATATATAGAAGCACATATATAGAAATATATATAGAAGTCCTTTAAAACAAGTTTAATGTTCGTAACATCCTTATGGTTGTTCATAACATCTTCAGGTTGTTCGTGAACGACTCATACAGCGTGACGACGGTGAATCACCCGCTGCCGCGCAGCGCGGAAGCGCAGATCAACGACGTTCTCACGAAGAACGTCGAGGGGTTCAGCATCTCCTTCAACATGATGTTCGGCATGGCCTTCCTCACCAGCAGCTTCGTGCTGTTCCTCGTCAAGGAGAGGGAGTCGAAAGCGAAGCACATTCAGTTTGTGAGTATCGCGAGCACAGTCGGTCGCTTGTTTGCCAGTAGGTTAGTAGTCGGTTGTTTTGTCTCTTGCGTTTAATTTTTCTAGTTGAATGCGTTAGTCGTCTTCTATGGTTTAACTGGAGATGGATGGATTTTGGGCATTATTTTTAAAGGAATTCGTTTAATGATGATCTACAGTTATTTATATTTCTAAATGAACTATTTTTTTGTAAAAGATAGCATATCGATTGTTCTGACAGCATATCGTTTAAAACTTGGGTAGTATTTAATAGCAAAAAACTCTCCGTATTCCAACGTGTTTTTGCCATACATACAACACAAGTAGCAAATCCCTATATATGAGGTGGCTCTAATTCTTAATGCATTTTCTAGATAAGCGGCGTCTATTCGTCCAACTTCTGGTTGTCAACGTTCATATGGGACTTCATCAATTTCTCCATTCCACTTGTGTGTATACTGTTCATCTTTCTGGCATTCAACGTGCCAGCATATGTTGAGGTAAGTTGATCATGTATAATATACACACATATGTATATATATATATATATGTATATATATATATTATGATGATGATGATGCATAGATGAGTTGCATGTTGCAGCGTCATAGTCTGAAACTCAGTGATAGTATATGGAAATGCAAAAATAAGAAAGGATTTGAGTTTTTAAGTTGTAATTCTATAGCTCTACGGTAAAACCACTTAATTTAACACGTTATTAACTACATATTCTAGCTTGGTTTACATTCTGGGTTCACGATGTAGTCACTTGTCAATGGTCATCTTTAAGTTACTACTTCGAAAACACTCAGATAAATATCTAGGTATATAGAATATGTTGCTATACTAATGCTAATTAATGCAAATCTGTTCAAACCGTCAAATGTCCGTAAGTAATTGCTGCTTAACTAGGTGTGGTAATTTTGCAGGATGAACATTTAGCGTACGTGCTGCTACTCTTGGTGCTGTACGGATGGGCTATGTTACCATTCGTCTACATATGGTCGTTCTGCTTTTCTGTACCATCTACTGCCTTTGCACGACTGACCAAGTTCAATATAATATCAGGTTCGTTCGATCTATATTAATTAGGTGAGATTATTATGATATAGTTTTTGCTGCTGTCTACTGCAGTATCACTTACTGTTTGTTATTAGTATTAGTCTCCTATGTTAGCAATGCAAAGGTTCTTTATAGGTTCTACAATTTTACAAAGAATTTAAGTTGTCGGATATAAATTCATCAGTAAATTAGTACTTATCTTCCGTAAAATATACACTGTACATACAAACACACTGGATTTTTTAAGCATTCCATAATCGAGTCTATGTGTGCATGTGCGAGCAAGTACGCACTCGCACACACACACACACATACATATAGACACAGATAGAGACACGGATACATTGATGCACACACGCACAGGCACGCACGCACGCACACACATCAATAGAGCGTAGAAGTTGATCTGTTTAACGTGGCGCGTCGCGCTTTCAGGCATCGTCACCGTTCTGGCCGTCGCCATCCTGTCGATCCCCTCGCTCAACCTCGAGTGGCTCGCCGTCAACCTAGAGTGGGCCTTCCTCGTGCTCCTGCCAAACTACTGCCTCGGCCAGGCAGTGCAGGACCTCTACAACAACTACCAGTTCAACTCCATCTGCGACCAGCCGTTCGTCGACTACATATGCGAGTTTACAAACATGACCATGGCCTGCTGTCCAGGTACGTGTAGACGGTGGAGACAGTTCCTAATACCTGTTGTTGTTGTCAGAAGTATGGTATAGTTATGTGTGAGTTCACGAACATGACCATGGCCTGCTGTCCAGGTACGTGTAGACGGTGGGGACAGTTCCTAATACCTGTTGTTGTCGTCAGAAACGTGGAATAGTTATGTGTGAGTTCACGAACATGACCATGGCCTGCTGTCCAGGTACGTGTAGACGGTGGGGACAGTTCCTAATACCTGTTGTTGTCGTTAGAAGTATGGTATAGTTATGTGTGAGTTCACGAACATGACCATGGTCTGCTGTCCTGGTATATGTAGACGGTGGGGACAGTTCCTAATACCTGTCGTCAGAAACGTGGCATAGTTATGTGTGAGTTCATGAACATGACCATGGCCTTAATTCAGCTGTCCATGAACGTGTAGATGGTGGGGACGTGTCCCGGGGAGGCACGTTGTCAGGGATAAAATATTCTTAACGTTCGTCTTAACGTTAATCATTTCTCGCAGACCCTTGTCAGGAATGAAAATATTCTTAACATTATTTATTTCTCGTAGACCGTTGGATAGAAACGCGATAAAGTTACGTGTTTCTCACATGAAGTGTATAGAGGTGAAACAAAATTGCAGTGCATGCATTTACTGCCACAGTCAACGGTATCGATAGCTGTGACTAGAAACTCTTGCACTACATGCAGTTATTACAGGCATTGATATTAAAATATTCGTCGTCTTGTTGTTGCTGTTGCTATTGTTGTTATTGTCGTTGTAGGGGCACCGTGGCAGTAACTCTGTGCACTGCAAGAGTTCCCAGCAACAGGCAATTGATATAACGTTCACCGTCATTCAGTGTCCTCACAGGGCATTGTGGCAGTAACTGCATGCAGTGCAAGAGTTACTAACAGCAGGCATATATAAATATATTATATTATATATATATAAAAATATATATATATTATATATATATATATATATAGAGAGAGAGAGAGAGAGATAGCTATAGATTATATAGGACATGTGTAAAGACGACCTCAGGGTAGCGAGCAGTTCGATGCACCTTTTATACACATTTATAATATAATATATATATAGGCATAAATATAACATTCGCCGTCTTTCACTGTTGTGTTGCAGGGCACTGCGGCGGTAACTGCGTGCAGTACACTTCTAACTACCTCGCCTGGGAGAAGCCTGGCCTCGGCCGTCCGATCTGCTTCATGGCCGCTCAGGGCGCCGTCTTCTTCGTGCTGCTGTTCCTGGTGGAGGCGCGCGTCTTCCGCAGGATGCTCTATCTCGTTAAGAAGCCGGGATCGGTCTCCAGCATGCAGGTGAGGGAACAGGTCTAGGTCAGTGGTTCTTAACCTTTTTCGAGTCATGGACCCCCTTGAGAATCTGGTGAAAGCTACGGATTCCTCCCCAGAAAAATGCCTATAAGCACATGTACACCAAATTTTTCATGCGCCTAGTTCACGGACCCCCTGAAGCCCATCCACGGACCCCAAAGGGGTCCATGGGCCCCAGGTTAAGAACCCCTGGTCTAGGTTATAAAGAGTACACTGGTGCTACTGACCGTAGGGTGTATTCGTCGTCGTGTCGTGTCGACGAGTTTTTTCCTCATTTGTTATTTTGAACCTTGTGTTGCAATTTGTGATTGAGGAATACGTTGAGTAGAATTGGAGTGTTCTCGGCATGAAGTGCGTGTTTTATCAGATTGCTGGTTATGATAGTTATGATTATGATTGTGATTGTGATTGTGATTGTGATTGTGATTGTGATTGTGATTGTGATTGTGATTGTGATTGTGATTGTGATTGTGAATGTGATTCTGAATCTGATTGTGATTGTGATTGTGAATGTGATTGTGATTGTGATTGTGATTGTGATTGTGATTGTGATTGTGATTGTGATTGTGATTGTGAATGAGAATGTGATTGTGATTGTGATTGTGATTGTGATTGTGATTGTGATTGTGATTGTGATTGTGATTGTGATTGTGATTGTGATTGTGATTGTGATTGTGATTGTGATTGTGATTATGATTATGATTATGATTATGATCGTTATCATTATCATTATCATTTCTATTATTATTATTAGTTAATAGTTAAAAATTACAAAATAACATTAACGTGTTTCTGCATGCACTGCAGCAGGACGACAGCGGCTCGCGCGTGCCCGAGGACGACGACGTCGCCGAGGAGCGACGTCACGTGACCGCGACGCCGCTCGACTCGCTCTTCTCCACCAACATGCTCAATCCTCAGGCCTCAGCAAGAACTACGGCCCCCTGGTGGCGGTCGACGAACTCACCTTCGCCGTGCCGCAGGGAGAATGCTTCGGTCTGCTGGGCATGAATGGAGCAGGTCAGTAGTAGTAGTGATGGTGATGGCAGTTTTGTGTGAACTCCTGTTGGGCCTTGTTGCCCTCTAGACAAAATGAAAGTAACCTTAATTTTAATTTTAAGATCCTATGAATGCTATGACTTTATGAATGCTATGACATCACTCTTTATACATGTATGACCTTATGATATCTTATTGCCATCACCTCTTTATACATGGTATGACCTTAATGAATCTTATGCCATAAAACTCTTTTATGTATGTCCGTGACCTCAACGAATCTAATATGACATCACTCTTGTGTACATGTATGACCTTATGAATCTATGACATCACTCTTTATTCATGTATAGCGACCTTATGAATCCTATGCCTCACTCTTTATTCATGTGCTGACCTTATGAATGCTATGACAATCGACTCTTTTGTACATGTATAGACTTTATGAATTTATGCCATCAACTCTTTATTCATGGTGACCTTACGAATCTTATGACATCACTCTTCTGCACATGCCATATACTTATGATCCTATGACATTGCCTCTTTCATTCATGCTATGACCTTATGAATCTACTGACTATCACTCTTTTATCATGCTGTGACCTTGATGAATGTATGATCTATCCACTCTTTATACATGTTTTGACCTTATGAATCTTATTGATGTCACTTCTTTATGTATGTTGCTTGACTTCATCGAATCGTAGCCTGGCGCACACGTGAGTTATTTTTACTCAAGCGTAAGACAATGCGCCATGAGTCAAATTACTCAACCGAAAATCCGCCGCAACGTGCAGTAAAATGCCACTCGTGCGTCATTTGTACTGAGTAAAATAACTCACGTGTGCGCCGGGCTTTATGACATCACTCTTTGTTCACGTATGACTTTGTGAATCCTATAACATCCCTCTTTATCCGTGTATGACTTTTTGAATCTTATACATCACTCTTTATTCATGTCATGACTTCTGAATCCATGATGACATCACTCTTTATTCAGCTATGACATGATGAATCCTATGGACATCATTCTTTATTCATGATATGAACCTTATGAATGTTTGACCCATTCACTCTTTATTCACGGATATAACCTTATGGAAATCCTTATGCATCACTCTTTATTCATGTTTGACACTTAATGAATGCCTATAGACAGTACTCTTCTATACATGTATGACCTAATGCAATCTTATGCATCACTTCTTTAATTCATGTATAGACCTTTATGAATCCTATAACAATCAACTTTATTCATGTTGACCTTACTTGAATCCTTGCCATCACTCTTTATTTATGCTATGACCTTATGAATCCTATTGACATCCCTATTTTATCCGTGTATTATTGACCTTTTGAATCTTATGACATCACATCATTTATCATGTATGACCTTATTGCAATCCTATGACATCACTCTTTATTCATTATGGACCTTATTGAATCCTATGACACCCTCTTTATCCATGTATGACCTTTTTGATATCTTATTGACATCACTCTTTATTCATGTATGACCATTATGAATTCCTATAGACATCACTCTTTATTCAATGGTTATGACCTTCATGAATGTTATGACATCACTCTTTTATTCATGTATGACCTTATGAATCCATATGAGCATCATTCTTTATTCATGTATGACCTTATGCGAATTGCTATGACATCCCCCTCTTACTATACATGTATCGCCTTATGAATACGTATGCCCATCACTCTTTATTCATGTGTGACCTCACGAATCTTATGACATCACTCTTTGTACATGTATGACCTTATGAATCCTATGACATCACTCTTTATTCATGTATGACCTTATGAATGCTATGACATCACTCTTTATTCATGTATGACCTTATGAATCCTATGACATCACTCTTTATTCATGTATGACCTTATGAATGCTATGACATCGCTCTTTATTTGTGTATGAATGCTATGACATCACTCTTTATACATGTATGACCTTATGAATCTTATGACATCACTCTTTATGTATGTGTGACCTCACGAATCTTATGACATCACTCTTTGTATACGTATGACCTTGTGAATCCTATGACATCACTCTTTGTACATGTATGACCTTTTGAATCTTATGACATCACTTTATTAATTTTTTTGAATTTAATAAAAAAAAATAAACAAGTGCTGATAGGAATGCAACAGTAACGACGTACGTTACGAGTGAGTTTGAACTATATTTTTCTCACTTCAAGGGAAGACGTCGACCTTCAAGATGGTGACCGGGGACGAGTCGATATCGTCTGGCGATGCATACGTTGCCCGATACAGCATCAAGACAAATATAAAGAACGTACGTAACGAACCGCAGTGTATCGTGAGATTTTTGTGTTTTTATTTGCTTTTATGTGCTGTGTTGTGACAATTTATGTGTAAATATAAAACAGATCTTTATTGTCGACGCAGTCACATAAAAGGGTTTCTTCCACTGCCACTTACAGAGGAGGAAATCGGATGATGTATGCAATGCATATTTAATATGTCCTTGGGAGCTAGTTCAGCCATTTTCCTTCCCAAGAAGACTGAAACTAGCACCCGAATATTATAGTATATGCAATTATTATATATGCGTGGTGGCATGGGAGGCTGGGATGTGTCTAGAAGGTGTTTTCTCGTTTCGTAGAACCCTTTGTAGAGTCCTGCCTTCTCGTATCTTCGCCGATCTCGTACTTTCAGCCGTGGAAATGTTTTAGCGTTGTGTCCATGTTCCTGATGCAACCATTCCTTTAATCGGATGACAAGCAAAGACATCAGATCGAAATCATCCGTCTTAGCAAATATTTTCGGATTCGTCTGGAAAAATTAAATTGGTTTCTGCTGTGAAACGAAAATCCAACGACTTTGAAATCGAATTTCTGCCATGCAAACTGGACGAATTATATACACACACTCCTAAAACGCGAATGATCGATAGCATGCGAAAAATCTAATTTAAGCAAGCGAATTCGGCTCAATAATCTCGATCTCCGCGCGCCGCCATTTCCAGGTACAGCGGAAAACTCAGAATCTAATCTAAGCTAATCGATAAAACAAACTCGAATTCGCGAAGTGCGTCAATCACAGCGCGCCGCCGCCATTTTCCAGGTGCAGCAGAACATCGGCTACTGCCCGCAGTTTGATGCGCTCATCGACCACCTGACGGGCCGCGAGACGCTGTACATGTTCGCTCGCCTGCGCGGCGTGCCGGAGTGGCAGATCCCGTCCATGGCGAGATACCTGCTGCGCGCGCTCCTGCTAGACCTGTATGCCGACAGCTACGTGGGAGAGTACAGGCGAGTGCTTTCTGTTTTTTTCTGTTTTTTTTTCTTTTCATCTATTTTTCTAGTTTTTGAGGATTTTTTTCTTTATTTTGTTTATGCTTCTCATCTACTTTTTTCAGTTTATGAGGATCTTTTTTTTATCTTGTTTTCTGCTTATCATCTATTTATTTTCTTAGGTTTTTTAGGATCTGTTTTCTTTATCTTCTTTTTTTCTGCTTCTCATCTACTTTTTTCAGTTTATGAGAATCTTTTTTCTTTATTTTTTTCATGATTCTCATCTACTTTTTTCCAGTTTTTGTGGATCGCTTTCTTTCTCTATCTTTCTTATGCTTCTCGTTTAATTTTTAAAATGTGTTCGTGGATATTTTTTTCTTCTTTATCTTCTTTACGATTTATGAATCATAAAGAAGATAAAAAACAACGAAAAAAATACCCCCAAAATGTTTAAATCCTAATCCTAATTCTCATCCTTATTAGGTTTAGGATTAAGATTTTATATTTTTTATGCTCTTAAAACCTAATCCTAATCCAAATCCTAATAAGGATTAGTGATATAGATACATCATCCTTGGGAACCTGCCTAGCGCAGACTTGCGACTTTTTCATGCAACTCGGCTGCGATTCTGGTCGCTTGCAACGAGTTGCAAGAAATCAAACAGGTTTGATTTTCAGCAACTCGTCACTCTCGCTCGCAATTGCTTCGAAATCGCATGTGTGCGGGTAACATAAGTCATGGAAAGACAATGGAAAGACAATGGAAAGACAATGGAAAGACAATGGAAAGACAATGGAAAGACAATGGAAAGACAAAAAGACAATGGAAAGAAGCGACTGCTGTCGAACAGCAGTTGCTTGCATGCGCACACACGGTGAAGCGTGCGACCGATCGCATGCGGTTGCAGGTTGCAGCGACTAGCAACCAAAAGTCGGAAGTCTGCGCTAGGCTTTAAGCCACAGCTCACGCGATTTCCTCCCGTTAAAATCTGTGATTCGAATCCTTTCACGATTCTCTCCCTCGCTGCAGCGGTGGCACGAAGAGGAAGCTTAGCACGGCCGTCGCGCTGGTCGGCGACCCGGCGATCGTGTTCCTCGACGAGCCGACGACGGGCATGGATCCCGTCGCGCGGCGCATGCTGTGGGACGCGCTGTCGCGCTACCGCGTCAAGGGCAAGTGCATAGTGCTCACATCTCACAGGTGAGAAAGAGAGAGAGAGAGAGAGAGGGGGGGAGAGAGAAAGAGAGAGAGAGTTCGCGTGGTTCGGGCATCTATGTTCTGTGTACTTCATGTGTGTGTACCTAATTGTTAGTTCTTATAGTTTTGGCTGAAGTGGCTGGGAATGTCGAAGTGATGGTTCGCTGGGGCAGATAGATAGACGGACGGATGGACGGACAGATGGACGGACGGACGAACGGACGGACAGACACACAGACAAATGCACAGACAAATAGACAAACCGATATTGTCACAGACGTAAAAACATTGTTTTTTTAATATGTTACACTGAATTTACAAAAAAAAAAACGATCTCTGATTAAATATGTATTACAAGCAATTTTAGTAGTTATTTGCACCACATACGCTGATGATTTTGTATTAATTCATCGATCGTGGCCGCACTTTTTCACATGTTAGCTATGCTGAGAGGGTCTATGTCCCCCAGGGTACTGCCGGAACGTACCCTGGGTACGGTCCGGTATACCGGAACGTACCCTGGTACTATCTAATATGCCGGACCGTACCTCGCCTACTCCACTAACGAGTAGGGAGTCGCCTACGCCTACTCCCTAACCCTAACCCTAACCCTAACCCTAACAGATAGTTACCAGAGTACGTTTCGGTATACCGGACCGTACCTAGGGTACGTTCCAGCAGTACCCAGGGAGACATAGACCCTATGAGCGTTAGCTATTCACCGTAGCTCACATGATCGCGCTTATTCACATGTTGCGCACGTAGTTAACAACTTGATGTGAGTGTGATCGATCATTCACGCATCCTCGCGTTGTATGCGTCCGCAGCATGGACGAATGCGAGGCTCTCTGCACGCGCATTGGCATCATGGTCAACGGACAGCTCAAGTGCCTCGGCACCCAGCAGCACCTGAAGACCAAGTTCGGCCAAGGTTACACGGTGCTGGCAAAGATGGCCGCCGGCTCGGCCGCGCACGCCGAAGCCGGCGCCGCGCCCAACACTCAGCCTCTCGTTCAGCATCTTCAGCAGAAATACAAGGGAAAGTGTATTCTGAAGGACGTTCATTTGGTGAGATGGTCGACCACGTTTATTAGTTACGTGCGCGTACATCCGACAATTTTGACCTCGTCATTTTGCAACAATGTCGGTTTGATGACCTGTTTGTCTGGTGCGTTTTCATTTAAATGCTGTGACACTGAAAAGAATTGACCGGAATTTATTGTGCTTAATATTTCTTCTATATTTATTGTTATTTGTGTTAATCTACTGCATCCTCAATTAAATATGATGATGGATCACACAGTGAAAGTAATCGACCAGCGTTTTATTGCGTTGTATGTATATAAGTATGTAAATTGTACGTAATTAATGTAACGTCTTTGTTTGTCACAGGGCTTCGTCCATTTCCACATCACCGACATGTCGCTCAAGCTTTCCGATATCTTTGCTACGATGGAGCACGCCAAGGCAGAATATCACCTCGACGACTACTCCGTGAGCCAGACTACGCTGGAACAGGTCTTTCTGAATTTCGCCAAGGCTCAACGCACCGAAGACGAGATTGCGACGTAGCCGGGGCGCAGAGGCCGTCGATGCTCTATGCACATTTCTTATACATTCTTTGTGGGACGTTCAGTATTTCAGGGAAAGTCGCCATCGTTGTGAGCCAGTGAGGATGTCAGTTGACTCGACGAACAAGTACATTTGATGCGAGGAAAATATAATTGTTCTCATTTGAGGTTAGTGCATGGGCAGGAGTGGGCGAAGAAACGGGCTAACACTCCATTAGGAGTGTTCCCAACGTTGATATCATTAATGATTAATGATTAATGAGTAATGATTGATAATCCTAACCCTAACCCTAACCCTAACCCTAACCCTAACCTAAATGACCACAAACCACAAACTAATATATGACCATGAGCATATATATATATATATATATATATATATATATTATAATATATGTTATTAATGACATTAAAGTTGTGAACACTCTTAATGGAGTATATCACCCAAGAAACGTGACAAAAGCATGATGGTTTGGTGATGAGAAAGCATGTTGATTCCTATGATATTGTTTTTATCGATGTAACGTTCTTTCTCCAGATGTATGGCGACTGCGTACGTTACAAGGTGCATAATATCATAATATTGAGCGTTGAGGTTCTAGTCTTATATCGTTTAAGCGTAAGATAACGAACTTGTTTATTATGTTGAATATGTGCTATAAATGGACCATGACACCGTAAGTTAGTTCGTAATATATATAGCAATTGCGTGAGTACGTAGTGCTACCATTATTTGAAATTGCATTATATACTGTTATGTGACGGTTATTTATAGGTAATCTTGTCATTGTTTTTATATACGTCACATGATAACTGAGGTTTGTGTAAATGAAGTAGTTTTAGTGTTTAGTTGCTATTGGTTTTGCAATTATGGAGTATATATCATAATTATCGTGATGTGATGTCATCACATATATACTTGATTTTAGTCTCTAAAATATTATTTGCTAATATAAACTTCCGTCTATATGCGGTTCTACATATTTCTAGTTCACTGGATTGCTAAGTCGACTTCAAGTTGTTAAAGTTGTTTTTTGTTTAGATTAATGTCACGTTTATTGCTTATGCAATATGTATGCTATCAAGAACTCATAATAGAGATCTCTATGATGCTATCGAAGCCAATGAGCTCTTGATGCTATCAATGTATACTTATGACTGTAATTCCTTCTGCAAGCAAAAGTAAACGCATTATCATTTTGCCAAATTTTCCCCAATCTTCAACGCTTCCAGCTTTCTACGTTATCCCAACTAGTCACGGCCTCGATACAGAAAGATGATTCATTGAGTCGGAGATATGGCTAGGGTGTGAGCCCCCCCCCACTCCGAGGTCGGAAGGACCGCATGCGCGTTCCCAAAATCTCCGGTAAAGGGGTATTTTTTTGTGCGCGACAAAATCCGGCCCAAGAATTGTAAAAAAGGGGGTGTATTTGACTTTTCACCCGGAGATTTCTTTAAAAAGGGGGTGTTTTTCCTCTCTCTCTTTCATCTTGAATATCATAGAAAACTTTATCAAATCCCGGGATCAAATTCCTGAAATTCCTGCTAGTTTTGAAAGCTCATTCAGGATTATTTCATTTTGAAAAATAAAAATATTGCTTCCTAGTTCCCCTCGCTCACTGAACTCTACACTACGTAGTGTAGACTGGTACCCGGTCGACAGTTCCACACGCTACACTAACGTCACTACGTCAGTGTAGCGAAGGATACGTACCGGAGTGAAGGTGGCGAACGGGTACCAGTCTATACGTAGTGTTCCGGATTTAGGGGGTTCTCCAAGGCAGAAAAAAAACCGCAAAAAGCCCGCGAAATGGGGGGTTCGGAAATTTTGGCAGTCCTGAGATAGGGGGGGTGCTTTCAAAGGGAGGAAACGAGCATATGCGTACCCTAAATAACACTGAGTGGGGAGGCCGGGATTGTTTTACAGGAGACATGCCCT